CTCCATGTGCCAGCAGCCCCATGCACCAAAGCCCTCTGCGGCAGCCGAGCCAAGCGGCAGCACCATGCATTATGCTGTTTTTTAGGGCAGAGGCAGCTGCACCTTACTCCTACAGATTCCTTGTCCCAGTGCATCAACATTTCTGCCTTTTCAGGTGAACCACATCACCATTTTCACCAGTACAGCCAGGCACAGTAGCAGCAGCAGCAATCTCCTATGTTTGCGTTAAGCACCTCCTTGGCAGCATCTCTCTGTGCACAGCACCAAGCATTTGGGGAGACGGGTATCAGTTCCTGCTCCTGGCATGGTTCATTAGGGCCACGATCCTCACTATGTTTTCTCACTTTTTTGCCATTCACAGCAGCTCAAAGAGGGGGAGTAAAAGTTTGCCAGGCCCTGAAGGGGGTACTTTGCACTCACTGCACGGCGGGGCCACTGTGTAGGGCAGTGAGGGTTATCATGCCCATGCTCCAACCAATCCACACCAATAAAAGCCAACCCCAGCAGAGGAAACGAATGGATGGATAACCACCTGCTGAAGAGGAAAATGCTGAGATAACTAGGTGCTATGGCAATTCATATCCTTTCTTTGATCTCAGCTGTATATTTGTACTGCGTATAGAAAGCAAAGAGAAGAACAACAAACCTTCCTCCTAAGCCAGTGACTCTCTCAAATTAGTTTTCCTGCTCTGTAATGGGAACAGAGGCTCAAACCCCAGCCTGCATTAATGAAAAAACAAACAAAAGCCGAAGTTCATTAGTGATGAAAGTTGCATTTCCAGCCAATTATTTATTTGGTTTTGCCTCTACAGAGCCTATCTATGCATTGCATAGGAGCCTGTGGGAAGCACCTCCAGTAAAAGTCTTTGGACAATTTGTTTATAAACTCTTATCACAAGAAACAGCAGGATTAAACAGCATATCATCCATTTGGCTTCATCACGATCTCCTCACTTGTTCCCATGTTGAAATCTGGAAAAACTCATCACCCTCGCAATTCATCCCAGCGTTCAGCAAATTCAGGCCCCGTAGTCTGTGGCTAAAACCAAGTTTCAGAAGAAATGCCACAGGAGGATGATCCACCTGCAGCCCTCCAAAAACTATTTGAGTGAGCACAGATAGAGCCCTTAGACAGACTCTTAGCTGTCGGTCCTGAACTCAGAGGGCATCTCCAGGATCTGAGGAGTTCAAGTGACTTATGCTGAACCTTTTAGTTCTACTATATCCACCCCACTCTTGCCGATCACTTGGCCTCCAAGCAAAACCACTTCAGTCTTGTTCCACACGAGTCCTGCAAACAGCTTGGCACAGGTGATGAAAGGGCGATGACACCAGCCAGCCAAGAAGTTGTAACTTTAGCGTCCTTCCAGCTCCTGCTATTGATTCAAGGTAAACCCTACCCTCATCCACTATTTTGTCTCCATCAACAGATAAATCCACTTTAAAAGTTCTCTAGATCTACAAGCTCTGCATCTCAACCTATGGAAAGTACCTTCACATGATTACCATCACCCTGCATCCCCCTCATTATTTATGGCTGGGGTTAAGCTATGCGCTCGCTGTAAGCCCTTGCACGTGTGCGAGTCCCTGGTGCACAAAGTGCATCTGTGTGCATTATTTTAAGCCTGTAAAGAACTGAGCGACATGGGGCTTTTTTTTTCTGGCAGAAGCTGTACTAGCCAGAGCTGCATCAATAACAGAGTACTGACTAACGAGTGAGGCACTAATTACGCCAAAGAAATAACAAACCTTTCTTGGTTTTTCTATCGTGTCATGTACATTCCGCAAGATAAAGAGACATAAGGAGTCGTATAAAGTGCAATCAGATCTGTTGTGTGTAGTGAACCAGGGAAAGGTGATGGCTGAAAGTATCAGATGGAGCTTGGGATCTACCCCTTTCCATACGGCTGCAGACTGTCCGTGCCATTCCATCTCCATGAGATGGCACTCAATGAGGCTGTTAGCGTCACCCAAAATTAATGGCATAACTGAAAAGAAAACTTGGGTCTCCACTAACTCTGTGCTTTCTCTCTATTTCCCCTCAGGTTTCCTGATAGCAAAACATGGCATCCAGCCTAATTTGCACCGGGTCCTTCTCCCAGTACATCCCTGGCCGCTCCAGTGTCCTGTGCTACACAGGAGGGGACATGGCTTGTCCAGACAACCTGAGAAGCTGCAACAGGGTTCAGCACACACGCTGATATTGCTAAGGCCAGCCTCTGTGGGGATGGAGGGTTCCATGGTGTGCAGCCACATGGCTCCCCACAAGCCGTCCTGCCTTGCCAAACCCATCCGGACCAGGTGTTAGCCCAGGACTGCAGGCAGAAATGCAAGCTCTCTGCTAAATTCCCCTTGCAAAGTAAAGACACAGGAGGACTGCTGAGGGACAAACGATGTTTTCCAGCTCAGAAACCAGACTTCCTCTCGCGGTACATTAGGGCCACCAGCAGTCTCCAGTGAGCACCTTAAAAAGTTGAGTTTCCTGTGCAACACAACGACAGACGTTATTTCCAGCGCCCGCCACGCCCCCGGCACTGGCTGCAGGTACCTGGGGCACAGCTCATGCAGCAAAACCAACGGCACCGGAGAAAGGGTGCTGCTTCTCACCCTTTATTGGTATCAGGGATGCTGAGACAGGGTGGGAACGACACTCGGTTTTCCTTTTCTGGAGCGCCAGGCCACCTACGCCCTGACTTAGCTCAGGCGCCGCAGGTCTGAGCAGAGGACAACGTCGGTCTGTTTTGCTGCGGGCGCCCTGCCAGGCTCAGCCTACCCACGGCTGCTGCAGTGCCAGGTTTCTCTCGCCCAGCGGGAAGCAACCCCGTGCCTCCTTCTCCAGCCTCAGCCATGCTGCCTCACCACAACGAGCGCCTCTGGGATCTGCTGCCACAGATCTGGGAGGCACGGGCTGTCCCACAGTCCCCTGTGGCCCGTGTGGAGCTGGCGGCCCTCAGCAGTGCCCTGATGAGCCGGGAGCTGTGGGACATGAACTGGTCAACCGGTTTTTGCAACGCTGCAGCAGCCAAAAGGATTTGAGAGCTCAGGCCAGGTATCATCTGATCGTGAGGCTAAGCCTGAACCAAAGCAGTACTACCCCCTTGCAGAGAGAGGGGCTTTGAGCAGACGAAATACCTGGTATTCCCCCTTTGGGAAACCAGTGTTTTCATCCAAGGCTAAGAATTTCACAGAGGCTGATAACAAGACAAAAACCCTGCAAACTCTTGGGCATTGCCTGACTTTCTACCAGGAGTATCTCTATACATAATCACATTCCCATGCAATACTGGGAGCCTTCCCTTCACACAGGCACCAGGAATCATGTGTAAAGCTGACTGGTACCATCTGTTTAGCATCTCCTGTGACAACATTATTATTAATCATTAATGTCAATCACATTAATGTTCTTAAGACTATGGTACACCTGTTCCCTAGCACCATCTGGAGGCAAACTCTGTCCTTCACCCAACGTCATGGAAAAGCTTCCTGTAGATCCAGGATAATGAATGGCTCCAACAACTCTTGAGTGGAACATTCAGCAAAGATTCAGGTATTTGCTGATCTGAATACGCATTGTACTAGAGACAAATTTTTCAAGTTTGGTTGTCTGCTGCAAGCTGAAAACTGTTCAGGAACATATGTTTAAACTTAATAAGCTAACTCTAGGCAAAAAGCAGACCACAGCTGTTCTGCTAAGGACAGCAAGACACCCCCAAAACCCTCCTGACAACGCAGTTTTAAGAAAATTGAGGAAATTTTAAGAAATTGAGGAAGAAAATGTAGAGGAAACCGAAAGTTTAAGATGGGTATTGTTTACATACCAGGCTTTTGCTCACATCTTTTTTTCCTTTCTGAGAGCTGACACCTTTATCTGCATCCTTCTCAAAACAGGAAAAAAAAAAACCAAACCCTTGCCTTGCAGTCCTACACTCCAAAAGGCAGACATCAGATGAATTCGGAATAGGGCATTACAAACCATTTTCCAACGAGGCAACTGGTAAGATGCTGTAACCATGAAGAGAGGAAGGAGTCCAATCTGAAAAGTCACATAGGCACCTGAGACATAAAAGAACTATGCTTAAATCTTAAAGCCAAACCTTCTCACCATGGGCCGATGCGATGCATGATCTCGTACCCGACGTGGTCAGGGACTAATTTAATACTTGTGTGTTTTCTTGACTGACCTACTAAAACTCTCCCTAGGGACACAAAGCCTCTGCTTCCCTAGTGGCCCTCTGAACAATCGAGTGTCCTACATAACTCCCCTCATTCATTGCCATTCTACAACCAGTAAAATTTTGCTCAGTATTTCAACAGGCCCACGTTAACACGGGTGCTGTGACAGAGCACAAGATTGGTTTTAGGACACTGGCCAACATGGTAGAATCCACAGTAGACGGGCACGTCCAAGATCTCACAAAATTGGGCTTCTCTGTCTCCCTTTCACAACCCATGTCTCCTACTACTAAGTAGTCAGAAGAGCAAGTCCTTGAAGTAAGACCAAAGCAAGGGTTCTTACTTTGAGTATGATTCAAAAAAAAAAGTAAGTCAAAGCAAGCCTTTGTCAAAATAGCAAAAATCTGAGCAACTGTTAAGTTACTGTTTACAAGGGAAAAGGAGAGGTGTAGAAGGGGTGTAATTCTTACCTTCCAGCTGTATTTTGAAGAGATGTAGAATATGTTACTTCTGCAGAGATGTTGCTTCTGCACTCATAGAGCCCAAACAACGCAACATACAGAGAACATCCATGCAGCTGGGGTTTTTTAATGGCTCACAAAGGGATGTGCAGTCTGCAGGGCCTAACAGGAGCTTACATATCATGAGTGAGCCCACAACCAAGTGACTTCCAATCAGCAGAAATTAAGGAATGAGTGGGACATAAAAGGACCAGACATTAGCCATCTCCCAGGCTAGGAGCAGTTGAGCAAGGAGTCCGAGAAACTACACTGACACTTTTACAGTGCTCTTCTTTACCCAGTATTTATTCAGAGACATAAGAGAGATGCAAATGCGCAACTTGTCTTTATCCCATCTAAGAGATGACAGTGTCCCGAAGAAGGTATTTGAGAAATTCACAATATCCATCTTATGCATCCATATAACACACTGCTCACTACTTGAACTTTCCAGCAGCAAAACTCCACTTTAAGACAAGATGCGTGGTGGTTTTATTTATTACACCATAAATAATAAGTTTCTGTAATATCACATATTTCAGTTTCTAAGTCTAGATCCGAAGAAAGTTCCGAAGTTTGGGGAATACTTTCAGTGCATTCTGCGTAGTCACTTCTATAACTTCTTCAACTGGAATTCCTTTAATTTTGGCAATATACTCTGCAGCAATGTAAATATTTTTTGGTTCATTTCTCACCTGAAAAAAAGAAAAAAACAAAAACGAACAGGCCGAATTACTGATTCCTACAGATGACAGGTGTTTCAGATTCAGCACCTCCTGACACAACTTCAGTCAGACTGCGGCATAATTACATCTATCTATTCTTCTTGGTTTACAGTTGGACTTGATCTTAAGGCTCTTTTCCAACCTAAATGATTCTATGATTCTTGCATTGTTTTCCCCTTTGCCCGTTCCTGGAATTTCTTCTCCTTTCCCAGCCTCAGGAACATGGACTTCTTCATCTCAAAATCTTCACCTGGCAACCTCTTTCACCCATTGTCCATGCTTTTGCTACTTCGCTCTCCCATGCCAGTAACTAACCTCCATAAGGTGTGGGTTTGGATATACAAACACAGAAGTCCCTCTCCACATCACTTACCTGTTTTTCAGGCCCCAGAGCAGGAGAGTCAGTTTCTAAGCACATACTTTCCAGAGGTAACAGTTTCACAAGTTTCTGCTTCTTGAAGAAAATAAGACAGCTATTAAACGCTTTATGCACTTACACCTGGGGGAAAAAAAAACATATGGAAGGAAGATATCTTCTGCATTTAAAAGCAATGCCAGAAGACTTTGGTGCCACTGCCTGTGTTTTATCAACAATTTCAGAATGAAAGCAAGAATACCAGAAGCTGCTCAAGAAGGCCCTTCAAATTAGGATTATCCCGTTTTCTAAATATCTAAAGTACTATTATTTAAACACTGAATGCATTGTTATCTATTAAGTTGAGTAATCATATTGCACAAAATACCCTATATTTAGGGTTCTCAATGCAATCTGAATTTGCTATTTTTCTGTATATGTAATATTTATGTGCCTTTTTCCCACCTCTGCTTCACTCCTAAACCCCAGTTTGGTTTCAGTTCTCCAAGTTCCTAACCTCACCCCCATCTATACTCATCCCTCACGCCCCCTCCACTTGAATCATGCCTTTTCCTTCCTTACGTTTCCTGAGCTTATCAGAGAGAGCAATGATGGTGCATGATGGAAACAGACTGCTACCCCAAAATAAGTTAGCATAGCCCAGAGTAGAAATTAAAAGAACAGTTTCGCCAAATCAAGGGCTGAACCTGACCAATACTGTCTTTAAGCAATTAAGCTCCTTCTTTTCTGGGCACGCCTTGTCACAATCACTCTTTTTCATAGGTCTGTCATTTAGCCAATTGTGAGCAGATTTCCTTTTGAACAAAAAGCACCATAGCACTGAGATAGAAACTATTCCTTCTCCACGCATCATGTCCCTACTCTAAAACAGTACACTGACAGAAGCTTCCAAAGAAGAGCTCACCAGAAACCATATGAGAAAAAAATGCCCATTTTCTTAACCCTTGTTTCTCAGGAATAGCTGAGCTGTTTTAGCCAAAATATCCTACCAAAAGTCTAGCTAAGGCAAAAACCCCCAAGGTAGAAATTTAGCCAAAGTAAAAATATGCAGCAACATAAGCAACCGAAACTTCTATCAAGGTGACAGCAACCGTACATGGGAACTGCTAGTCCCATTTCAAATTGTACACATTAAGCATATTCTTGAACTGGACAGTGAAAGCAGTCATGTTTGCCATCACGGTAAGCTGTCAGCTGTTACCTGCTATCCCCAAGCACCAACGAGGAGCAAACTCCCTTAAACATTACCTGTTCACTCCTTATAATGGAAGGAGGAATGGAGAAGAAGTATCCAGCTTTCACCCCTTCCATTGCTACAGATGGCTTCCCATCAAATGCATGGAGCAAGACCTTTGCAGCACCTCAGAGAAAAGAAGCAAACCAAATAATTACCAGTGTTGACAACAGGTCTGCTATGTTAGCTTCCAGTGGGACCTCAGTCCCATAAAGAATGAACACACAATCTCTGCGCTATTCCTCCCAAGTTTCATGGACACAAACTGATGTGAAGACGTGGCACAACTTAAGAAATTCTGTTGCCAAAACCCACGACAGAGAAAATGCATTAAAAACTTACCTTGCTCCTTTAAGAGATTAATGGTTGGTCGTCCAGCTGAGCGGGAATGAACATTTCTGCACAGCAAGGAGAGGCTTGGCATTAGGAGATTCAGCAAAACGTTTTTTTTTTTGTAAACACAAACAAATTAACAGCATCTTGGGAAGAAGATAATTAATCTGTACTACAACTTTTATCAGAAAAAAAATCTAAAGACGTATATATGAATCATTTTAGCTACAGTGAAGACACAGCAACGAGAATGGGACACAGAAGACCACTGTATGTAAGTGCAAACATAGGGAAAATTCTACAATTAAATCTCAAACTGGAGACTGACAGGACACTAATGCCAGTTTAATCCGTGTAACAAAAGTTCTGTGGGCTCTTAGTAACTATAAATCCTGGGAAATATTTCCACATGTTACTGAAATCTGACAAATTCTCCTACTAGTATAAGCAAAACCTACAACGGCAAATCCAGTCTTCTTGCTAACTCAATCTGCTTGATCAAAACCTGTCTTTGTCCTTCCTTCTGTTCCTCTGTGCTGGCAAATCTTGGAGTGAAATCTAGTCCAACCTACAGCACAAGAAGAGAAGTGGAAAAAAATTACAGACCTAACACTTGACTAAATCACAATACCATATATAAAAAAAAGAAATGCTTCAAACCTGCAAGCCATTTCAAAATATATATACTAGAGACTACAATTAAAATGAGCTCAACCGTAGCTCAACTCAGAAAGGAATCCATTCTCAACCATAAGCTTTTCAACTATGAAAGCGTTTCCAGGCAGATATTACTAAAAAGTGTATTTAACATTTTAATCTGTAATTAGTTTTCTGCAGTTTTATATTCTATTGAATATTATTTCAGATTAAATCTCAAATCTGGATTTCCAATAGAAGTAAAATTTCTGACCTGAACCTGTAGTTTTAGTCCTATCTCTAGCAAAAATTATCCATCAATCCTATACTTCTTTGATTTAAACATGTTCAGGCAAAATTTAAAGTTTGCCAAAGTACCCCATTCACAGTGACACCAACCAAAGTCCTTGATATACACTACAAGTACAACATGGCAAGATTAGCTACAAAGATCTGCCAGTAACTGCTTTTTCTGCAGCCAGTGCAGAACATGCCATAAGTCCTTCTGGCACCAACACACAAAAGAGGCAGACTCTACCCTAAAGCTTTCAAGTCTCAATTAGTTTATAAACAAATGTTAAGAGAGAAGACAATACATGGATACAGACAGAGGAGGGATCCCAAGTAAAAAGGACCGTATGAGTCGGTAAGGTGTGCTGAAATCATAACTTTGCCAGGGAAGAAGGCAGGAAGGATTTGAATGAGGATAACAATGCGACTCGACACTTCACTGTGACAGAGAATCATAGAATGGTTAGGGCTGGAAGGGACCTTCAAAGGTCATCTAGTCCAACCCCCCTGCAAGGAACAGGGATATCTCCAACTAGATCAGGTTGCTCAGGGCCTCGTCCAACCTGGCCTTGAACGTCTCCAGGGATGGAGCATCCACCACCTCTCTGGGCAACCTGTTCCAGTGTTCTACAACTCTCATGGTAAAAAATTTTTTCCTAATATCCAACCTGAATCTACCTCCCTCTATTCTAATAAGTCAAAAGACATTCGGGCACAAAACGATACAGTATAATTACACAATTCTTCCTACTAAATCCACCAGCATAAAAGCCATCTGTTTCCTAACAATGATAATGAAGGAAAAGAGGGAATCGGGGAAATCTATGACAGAATTCTCTCTCATTAAGAGAATTAAAAATCAGAGTTAGCACTTGTTCAGACTGATAGCAATATTTATTACATACAGCAGATGAAGTATTCACTAAGTTTTTATAATTCTGGTGGCAGCCGCTGCCGAAGCCACAGCCATTTAAACATGTTATGGAATTCTACTTACTTCTCCGATCCCCACCAATTTATCTTTGTAGAGTTCTATAAGTGGCAACGCAGCATCCAGATCCTGCAAGCACAAACTGAAGATGCAACTCTCACTGCCCTTACAAGATGGATGGGGTATGAACTCAGCGTTATGATTAAACTGGAGTTTCCTTCATCGTTCTTAAATTCTCTACCTTAAAACTTGCTATTACTGTGGGTTGTGCTGTCAGCCAGATTTCAGAAACCTGCAGGGTTTCCCTTCTTTACCTAACAACCCTTCATTTCAAGTTATCTTTCCTCAGGAGCAAAAGAGGTAATTCAAACAAGGGCCATAAAAAGCCTGGGAAGAGTAAACGGCTGCAGACAGCTCTCCAAGTTTTACAGTCTAAGGGCACAAACGGTCACTTTCCGCTTGCCATGCTAACAAAGGGACATCTGCAAAAACACACGCGTGCTGTTCACTGTATGCAAAGCACTCACTTGGGATTTTTAAAACCATTTCACTGCTGTAATATGGCCAGATGACTCCAGTGAACAATTCTGCTTTGGGACTAACACAGACAAATGGATGTGCTAAGGGACCCTGGGATTTGGTCCGTTGGGTCTGCTGTATTGCAGAAGCACAGAAAAATCACTGGGCAGATCTGAAGTTAAATCAAGCAGAACAGAGCATCCCGTCGTCTGCCCTGAGCAGTCCCAGCAGCATCTTATAGCTGCACTAATCTAATTTGCCAGTGTTTTACCTTCAAAGTAACACTGCGCTGCTCCTCTGGCGAAATCTCTTGAACGGGGTGAACTCCCAGGCATGGCAGAACAAACCCTGGGAATCTAAACACGGAATACGTATCAGTTGCACAAGAGGCGGCAAAAAAATCAAGTTTGAAGTCGAAAAGAAAGACCGGCCTGACCAAAGAAGAGGGCGGCGCGTCCCCCGTCAGCTCC